ACAATAACTTATTGGTTCTACAATGACTGTATTGGTGACGTCAGTAATCAAAATTCTTGCCTTTCTTCATTGTTATCCACTTTGCACATATGTAAATTGATTTTTGGATTTCCTGTTTGTTTGATGGAAAGTATACATGTATAGGCAGTTATGTTTCAACCCTATCATTCAGCTGTTGGACATCATTGGACATCCTGTCGTCAGGCATTTGTTAAAGTATTCAGAAGTGCCAAATTGGACGTTCGTTAGAAGTATGTTGTCATCGCTTATAACTTTGGAAGTTGCATGAAAGCATTTCCCCATTTGGAAATTTTCAGAAGAATACAAGAGCTATGTTGTAACTTCAGAGCCTTTTAACACTGCGATGAACTATATGGGCATGTTTACTGGGTACCAAAAATAATGGAACGAGTGATTGAGTGCTTCAGTGAAAAGAAGAATGTAGTAGCCCTGCTCAATGCTGCCCAGAAAGTGCAGTCGTGAGTCACTCAGTCGTGCCTTGCATGATCCATCCATTTACATCATTTTGGACAAGTACCAGGCTTATGAAGGCAAGGTTCGTACTGGCCACTTTCTTGCTCAGTGTTATTGATTATAAACATCCTATCCTGATATTTCTGTATGCCATGAAGACGAACAACTTGGACCTCTCCCACAAATTTGGTGGAGATATGGCAGACCTATTTTTTGCTTATGATGGATAAATCTACCCCAGATATAACATTTTTTTCAATATCAATACCTTACAAATGGTGTTTCAATGGAGAGGTCGAATGCACGTGCTTCTTACATTGTATTGTAGGTGGATTCGTCGATATTTGTCCTAGTTTGATGCTGACAATGATGATGCGGTACAACGTACCATTGCTGCTATTCGTTACTTCACAAACCCTTTCTCATTGGCCGACAAGGACCATCTTTACAGCTTGGCAGATGGTGCTCCTGCTTCTTTTGAGATAGAATTTGGTGTACTACGTGCTGCGTAAGCTGACAAAGAGACCAAAGAAGCATTCATTAAAAGACAAATATTGTGCACAACAAAACATTCAAGCTCACCACCACACTAAAAAGAGTCAGTTTGGTTTGCTGAATGTATTTTTATTTTGACATTATTGAGTAAGGTATATGATGTGGTTCAATATTTCCTATATTGCAGGATGTCCAATACTATGAGCATAGTTGCCTTGTCTTCATGCTGCTGGTCAAATCTCAGGACCTGGATGAGCCAGTAGAACCTGATGAACTGATAAGCTATACACTTACCTCTGTAACTTGTAGCCTTGGCTGCACTACTACAGGTTCTTCACATTTCTTCACAGACCATGGTCGGGAGGAATTTCCTCACCCAAAAGGTGCACTACAATGATATGGCAATGCACTTTCTCATGCCCTGATAAATATATCTCCTACGTTTGCAGAAATATGTCTGCAAGTGCAGTGGTGGATCCAGCAAAATGTATTGGGGGGGGGGGCAAGCTTCGCCTAACATTACGGAGCGAAAATCGCAAAGAAGCTGTGCGTAATTCAAATGATATGAATCGTCATGCGTTTGGCCACTGTTCAAGTGTTAGATCAAGATGGTGGTAAAAAAAATTGTATCTTCTCAACTGAGTCCATGCTAATTCTAACAAGCTCAGGAGAAATTACGCCAAGGATCCTCTCAGCAGTATATGATACAAGGGCCAGTGACAAGAAAACCAAGTGACTTCAAACTTTTCCTGGCAAATGAACACAATAAAACTTGGCTATCCGGACTACTACTCCAGGGCGTGGAGCAGCAATCTGCATCATCTCACATGGAGCAATGTGGACCAGCATTGTTGGTAGTGGATGGCAAGGCAAACCAGTTTCATTCATTTGATAGAGTAAATAATTGAATTCCATATAGGAGTTTTTAAACCACTTTGTATCATAAATTCGAATGTTTAACACCTAAAGATTGGTAAAAATGCAGTGTAAAAATGTACCATGGGGTGCATGGGACCAATATCTTCCTACTGAACTAGGTGTCTGATGACTTGGATGGCCATGCTACTATGCAGCCAGTGTAATCTGATGACTTGGCCAACTACTATGCAGCCAGCGTCGTCTGATGACTAAACTAACTACGATATAGCCAGTATCGGCTGATGACTGGATTAACTACTATGCAGGCAGCGTCATCGGATGACTGGACTAAGTATCATACAGCGAGTGTCGGCTGATGATCAGAACACATTGCTGACCAAGCTGAAAGCTATATATTGTCTAGTTCACCTAGGCATAGCACTACGTATATTCAACTGTAAAATATTCCCAATGTTCTCTATAGAAGGGCACTTTGTGGTATCCATGGTAATATTTCTGATGTGGGAAAAACACACGGCAAGTCCTGTGAGTCTATTCCTGGTGTGGTGTTTTAAGTTGAAAATATTCACTTGGAATTATAACACTGTGCTTAATTGACTTTCCTAATATACTTAAGGAGTGTTACACATTACATTACACGACGTTTGGCGGAAATTTATGTTGGACAATCGGGGTGAAAAAGTATTTTAAATTGTTTTTTAACAATAGTCTATTCTGTTCACGTCTATCATTATGCCTTGACTTGCCGGTATTTAGTGCAAGTCACGCCCAGGTCAAACCTCGTACTTGTGATTTCCATTAGAAGAGCGCATTGGATTGTGGGAAAACCAATGGTTATCAACACAAATGTCGCACATGCGCAGCGCGACGACCACCGCCCTTTAAATTACCACATTGTACTATTAAAAAACATGAGTACGACAAGAGGTTGCTCATTGGTTCATGACTATGTTGTGTCACTCAGTATTCAGGAGTTAATGTAGTCATTTTACTATGAAACATTAGTGTGTGTTGAAAATTAAATTAATTTCAGTGGTGGGCAAAATACTATGTAGCCAGTGTTGCTGGAACGTCCTGAATGGGGGGGGGGTAAACCTTGGCTGCAGTGTCGAGTCCAGGTGGTGCTGTTTGTTAAAATGCATTATTTGGTCTGCACACAAACCAAGGCATCGGTTGTAACGCTGCTGAACTGTGAAATAAGTGCTACTGAACTAACAAGTCATTGACGAACGTACAACCTGCAGGAATGAGTACAGCTATATTATTTTTAGACGAGTCGTCAACATGGCCCATTTATGACATTCTACAAGAATAGTCCAATGTATTCATTTACATGCAGTATCACATATCAGTTTTGAAAATTATATTCATCATTAAATTTGATTGAATTTGATTTCGTACTGTTACTATATTCCACTATTATTTTTGCTTGAGGATAAATATACAGATGCGTGTCTGTTCAGAGTGGGACAGGTACATATATTTACTATGTCAACTTCTATAACGAATCTTGTCTGAGACTATCACACTTCGCCCCCGAAATGACGCGCCTAGCGTCAGTGTCTGTATTCATCGGATTGTGATGGGTGGGCGGCCTTGTATCACGCGGCAATGTCCAAATGACTTGGTCAATCACCCTGCACTTAAAAAGATAGCTGAGTTCAGTTTAGCCACCCACGCTCTTTGCTACTGGGAGTAACCGTGGTAAGCAGAAGGCCAATACTGCATATCCACTCATAACTTTGAGATACGCCCTCGCCGACGGATAAAATGATAACATAATATAACTGTCGGTGAGGGCGCAAGCTACCCACATTTCATACGCAGAAGGATACCACTGTTATCAAAGTACTAACTGGAGTAGTTATTTAATTTATTAAATTCATATGGCAACAAATAATTTTACGTACTTCGGTTTATTAGAAACCCGGGCATGGAAACTAAAAACCTTTTTTTAGCATGGAAAAGGGTGCATTATTCAAAGAAGTGAATCGATGTATAGAACTTGATGGAGATATGGGAAAGCCGAGATGGATCATCGTGCAAGAATTCTGAAAGTACAATGTCCTAGCTTACTGACGTTTGTGGGGAGGGAGTGAACGAATAAGAACCATGTGAACGGATTATGTGCGAGATGAAAGAAAATTGCGAGGGAAAAAGGCAAAAGTATAAACGTTTCCAAATCGTTTTTTCTTGTCACAATGCTACGGCCATTTCTCTTTGATATTACCAGTGCGCGTCAAGTAAAACAGTTGCTACGCACTTTAGAGAATGTTGTTGCCATACACAGAATATGCTATCAAAGTATGCTACTAACACTTGACGCAGATACTGTGCATATACCACACAGTACATTACAGTTTTTTCTTTTGACGTTCATTATGAAGTCATATGGAATATCAAAGAAAGCTTACAAAGAACTCCCGTGTGTGCCTGTGTCGAGAAATTTGGAGGCATATGAACAATGTGAAAACAGGCAATTCTTATTAAAACAAAATGAATACAATTGTACATCTTTAGTTTAACTCATTTCTGTGCATTAAGTTTAAATCAAATCTGTAGGACTAGAAATAGGCTCATTTATTCGAATATGAATTACCCTCAGAGTACACATGTATTAAGTTTTATTGCAATCTGATATATAAAAAATCTGGAAAAAAATATTCACAAAATATACACAAATTTCACACAAAAACAGGGATCCCAAGGCACTTATGTTCCAAGTTTCTTTGAAATGCAATGATCGCCCGAGATATCAAAGGAAAAGCTGAAAAACTAACTAGTTTTAACTCCAAAATAAAAAGATCTGTGTATTTTTCTATAGCACCTATATACAGTTTCATGATCGGTTCTTAAGATATCAGTGGAGAAACTAAAATCTAATTGGTAATTAATATGCACAGATTTCTATTATATTCTAATCAAGTATGTGCATTACCCAAATGCATCTGTGTGTTAAGTTTCATACAGACAGACAGACACAGACAGACAGACAGACAGACAGACAGACAGACAGACAGACAAAAGCAAGTTAGCCACATTCATCCTTTAAATCAATAAAACATTATAAACTTTTGTTTTGCAGAAGAGAACAAATATCCTGGTCTGTCAACACTTTCCATCTGAGAAAGATTGTGATCATTCCATATTTGTGGAGGTAAACAATAGAGTTTATTGAAACAAAAAATACAAATCAATGCTGAAACGTTGAAATCAGCCTCAATAGATAAAGTACAAGAATTGGAATAAAGTACCAATACAATGAAATATGAACACAAAGTGTTACGGAACTAAATATACTTTGGCGTAGAATTATCACAAATACTATACCAGTCAGCCACTATATTAATTATTCCGCTTTTTCATTATGTTTATTTTTTCAACCAACCAATCAATCAATCAATCAATCAATCAATCAATCAATGATTTGATTGTTTCAAGATGAATTACTGGCAACTGAAATGTAAATGTCTCGAGGACTACAATCTGTTGAAGAAAGGTGATCTAAATTTATTTTAAAAAAAAATACATGCATTTGAAAATAAAATTCATAAAGCATATACATGAATCACTGATACTATTACTGTGCAATAAACTGAAATTATATACACATTTGAGTAAAAACACCACATTATCCATGGTACTTAACATTGATAAATTCATCATTCATGATGATTCTTTATGTCCAAGAAAAATCATAGCTATTTCTTAACAAATAATTACATCAAACAGGTAGAAAATGAAAATTTACAAGATAGACCTGAATATTTAAGCATTGGTTTGTCTACACTCAACTAAAAGATTTACCGGTATACTAAATATGCACAAAGTAATTCATTTAGCTCAGTATTATCCCCTCTCGCAGGAAAACCACATGCTATGAAATTTTAGGAAATGAAATATGTTTTTGTTGATAATAGACAATACACATAATATTCTTATTAAGACAGTTCCTTACAGTTAATTCCTTAACATGAAGTCCACAAAATATATTTTTTTTAACAAATTCAAGACAATGTGCACAAATAATACATGAAAATGTTATTTCAAAATTTTCATTTTACCATTTATATTAGTGCATATTCATATAGGTGTATATTTTATTTTATTTCCTAGTTTCAAACAACCTTTCCTGAATCACAAACTATTGACCATTAAAAGTTATGAAAAATGGGAAGAATCTATTAAAGAGACTGTAGTTTAAGTATCAATGCTCTGAGAAACTTTAGCATGAGGTATATATTATATATACCGTACTTCATTTTTTGTTATAAATTGTCATAATATAGTGAGTAAATTTAAGCATTTACAGGTCGTATGATACATTCCTCAGAACATGTTTTAGCATCTATAATAAAAGCTTCAAGATCTCTAGTAAGTAATTTGGTCAATTCATACGAGTACCTCCTTCCCCAATAACATTTTAGTTCGAATTTTATATTTCACCATTTTCAATTACAAAGGGGATATACCGATAAATCATCAATTATGAAGTCCAATAAAATATAAATTTTTCAGTGTTTTACACATAACACTTATGTAAGTGGATATTATACATGCTAATAATATGTGGAGTCTAGATTCTGGGTGAACTAAGCTTGGATGGTCTAGATAACTTCTTCAGCTTTCTTGAGACCACGATAGACACAACAGGACAAAATAAGACCCATAATCTGTAAAATAAGGTACAGAAAATTTTTAAATTAGTACTTTGATCACCTTACATGTCCATCATCATATATATCTACTATCCTGGAAAGATGCATTTTAAACGAAACACGAACAAAGATAGAATTCAATTCTAACTTTCTGGTGATGATCACAAGTGATAATTGGACACATAAAAAAGGGAAGAACAGAATTACCATGTGAAATAGCCAGTGGAAGAAGAGTTAGCAAAGAAGCTGCAGAAAACGTGTAAGTAGCTAAGTAACTACAGAGTTCTGTATCTTTTTAAGAGCATAGATAATACAGGCACTTAAAAACAGTCCAGTCATCTGTTGGCGGAGAACGAAGAGTATGCAGAGATCGTTAGTACACAAGTCACTATGTGTATGTCTAGTTCATGCCCATAAAATGTTAGATTTCATTTCATTACTATCCTCATGACTGTCACTTCAGTAACAAACATACAAATAATTTTGTTCATGTGTTTAGCTACAAAGCATACAATGCAATACAGACAAACAAGGCAGCAGCAGCAGCAGCAAACACATGAGTTAATTGAACTCTGGAGAACGGCAACAAGCACCTTGCCACTGCAGGAAGAAGTGCTCCTCCGACGCCACAATCACTGCCCTGAAAAAACAGCTTCAAAAAGCATGTAAATATCACTGTCCTATAGCGACTACCGTAGTTGTTAATTAACAAGCTGAATAGAAGCCTTTAATTTTACCCTGTCTGTGTGTGTGTCAATCTGTTTTGCCCAACCTCTCGCTTTTTGAATTGATAGCTTATCGCTTAATATCTAACAGCAGCACAGTATTTTTGAACCACATTTTTACTCTTTATATTGTATTTTTTGCTCATTCATTTATTGAAAACACAGACCCACTTGCCCATACACTGCTCACAGGCACGTACACATGTACAGGTATGGGTGATTGAAATGGTAGTTATAATGGTAAAATTAGGGGATACAATAAGTATTAACTATTGTCTGAGTGTATTTTTGGAGGGATGCTTGTTCCAATTTTACCAAATTAAATGAAATATTTTAATTTATGGAAAGCAATGCAATTCATAAAAAAATAGGGAATTTTTTCTACCCTTTTCATATTTTTCGGTCAAGACTTACACAAAGAAAAATTACACATTAAGCGGTATACGTTATGTTTCATTTTAGACATGGAAATATTTTCTTTCACTTGGTCTATGTCCTTCTTGGGAACAAAACAGCAATACAAATCATGAAAATAAGCCGGGGTATTTGAAACCGAAATTGTCATCTAAGCGTTAGGCCATCTCTGATTGGCTGCTGAGCTGGAATGTCAATTTTTAGTTTCAAATACCCCCAGGAAAGTGTTCTAGGTTCTTCGCGTAATTAGGTGTTCGTATGCAAATACGAATTAGGCAGAGTTTTGTTATCGGTTGGCTTAATATAACCCCAACGGACCGTATTTTTGTGAAAGATTGGTATTTTTGTCCTGATTTGTAGGAATCTGAAAAACACGTTTCACAACTTGTCTCTTATTTAGTTTTATGCGTCATTCAAGATGGCGGCCCCCCATATAGTAAATATCGTATTTATTTTATTATCACGTGTGCGCCAGCTGACTGTGGTCAAAGGGTCCAATCGAGTGCAAATAATTATAGGTAACGAAAATTATCAGGTTGAATTCAACGAGCAGTCGCAAATGCGAGTGGGAAAAAAAACAGCGAAAAGCAGAAGCAAGCAAGAGGTTGGGCAGAATGTGTACTGTATGTGGTTAACCAGTGATATTTGAAATTTTAAGAAATTCCATACAGCATGCATGTATGTTCTATCTTTCTCATTTTCACACTCTCGTCTCGTAAAGTGGTAAAACCTACCTCAATGAAAGCAATACCAAGTGCCACGGCTCCGACATACATAATATTATCTTCAAGGTATTGTTTTAATGTAGTGTAACACCCATCGCTGTACATGTACTTATTTGGCACATCCACACCAAAACCAATACACGCTGTGACGTTATCCGGCATTGGAGTTTCACCGGAAACAACCTGGGTTGGATCTTCAACCTATATAGAATACAAAAAGGATACAGTTATTATTTGTTTATTTATTAACGTGGACAATTTTCAAATACAGAAACTCCAGTTAATGTTAAATATTGAAAAGACTGTTTGTTCTTTATTTAATTACAATGTCCATTGATTGAAACATAGTATGTGTCATTAACATGCAAATGTGTTAAAGTAGAAACCTAACATTTTTCAGAAATTTCAATTTTCAGTGATTTAGTATGTACAACCATAATGAGATGAATTTCCATGGTAACACCAATCTATTCAGTGTTACAGTAGCATAATTTTTGAAAAAAAATGGCCCGATTTTTCAAAAATCAATATTTTCAGAAAGATTGGACAAAACACAATGTTAAAGAATAATTAAGTTTTAGCACTTTGGAAAACCAAGATTTTAAAAATTATTCAAGATAGCAAAATCATTACATCAGTCACAAAATATAATTATAGTTTCCCACTAATTAAGTCACCAGCGAACATTTTAGAATGTATGGCATAATATCCCCACCCCATAGGCACCGATGGAAAAAGCATCATAATACTGACAAAATGGCCACCATTCACTAAAAAAACAATCATCATTCGCTTAAAAAAAGGCCCAATATACTAATAATGTATTGTATTCACTATAGTTACTTACATAACAACAGGATAGCGGGTAATCCAGTGTTATATCAACACCATCAACATTAGTAGGAGTCTGCTCTGTTGCCCATGTAGTATCCTGCCAATCAGTGTAATTGTCAATACCACAGCATTGCAGCTACAGTGAAAAAAATTAAGTCATATTTAGAATAACTGAATGAATAACACAGTGCTTTCACAGATGTACTTGATTGTTTTCGTCTTATGGGCTTTTACTTGTGCCGAAAGGATAAATGACCAAAAAAGAGTTTGTTTGTTTTTTCTAAATACTTTGAATGTTATCGAACTCAAATTTTGTCATTTTTTTCAAATGAAAATATCCTGTCTATTTGAATCAAAGTAATTAAAAATATTAAATGATAAATAAATATATACAAATTGTATAATACTGCAGCACAATGTTGGTGGGAAAAACATGAAGTTCAAAGGTTAAAACCTTTTCATGTTTATTGGTATTTAATAATCAAAAACAGAGCATAGCATAGCATAGCATAGCATAGCATAGCACAGCATAGCATAGCATAGCATAGCATAGCATAGCATAGCATAGCATAGCATAGCATAGCATAGCATAGCATAGCATAGCATAGCATAGCATATTCTAAATATTTCTGTATTAAATGTTATCAAATTTCTTGTAACAACTAAATATGAGAGTGATTATATACTGTAAAATACTTTATTTTGGCTGGAATTAATTTTCGCTGAAAAGAATCTTTGGGTGTTTTGCATGAAATTTATTTTCACTGATTTTTGACAAGTTGAATGTAAAATATAGGAAAAAAAGGTATATTTGCTGGATTTTATTTTCACTGAATCATTCCTTCAGCGAAAAATGAATTCCAAGCGAAAATATTTTACAGTTAATACTGCAGCCCAATTGTGTTAATTTCACTAATATGTGGATGATCCAAATAATACATGCATGTCAGAATATTAATTACTACATGTATCTACATGTATATTATAAAATAATTGCTGAAATTCAGACTTTGCTCTGAACATGCTTCCTTGTTTGAATAACAGCACCAGTCGCATGAATGTTTATTAGATGCAACTTCATTTTTTTTATTTTCACTTTACAGCTTCCATTTTTGCCAACTATCTTGTGAATTTCATTTGGCTAAACCATTCATTGCAAAGTTGCCATATTTAAAAATATACACTAGCTCCAACACACAGGTCATTGACCTAAAACCTTCAAAAATGGGGGGGGGGGGGTGATACACATTGTGATCGGCATATGGTGTACATGTATACTCACAAAGCTCTGAGCAGCGTTCCATGCTACACTGTATGTTTCAGTTGAATCAGCACTCTCATATTTTTCCATACTTTTTGACATCTCATCACGCAAGTAGGTCTGAACCTGAAAGAAATAGAAGATATATATATATATAATCTACTATAGTACCATTATGTTTTTGACATTTCGTTTAATTGGCATCTAATTCTCAGTACACAGTGCGCCTAGTATTTAAACTTTTGAATTTCCCGAGGTTGACACATTTAGTGGTCTTTAAATCACACGGAGTGTAATCAATCACCACCTCTCGCATACGATTGAAAAAAATGGTGTATATTTTCATTTCAAAAAATATACTACACTTACAGTATTATTGAATGCCACAACGACAGCTCCCGCAGCAATCTGTATAATCACAACTATTAAAAGAATGATGAAATACTAGAAAAGAAAAGTGAGTATATATTCAAAATGTGGTCACATATAATAAATGCATATTGTCATCAATGTCTAGTGAAAAACACAGGTTAAGGCTTCCCGTCAACTTTCTGCATATTTTAATTTATTCTTCTATAATTTTCTTGTTAATTATGAAACAAATTGACACAATTTTCCACTGTTTTTATAAGAGCTTAATCAAAATCTTGGGGACAAAAATACAAATGAGCAGACTGTGCGCTGATATTAGTAACAAGAATATTCACTAAAATTAACAATAAATAAATTAATCTGATATTGACTACAATTTAAAGAATTGAAGACATATCGATCATCCCAAAATGAACAAATCTGACTGAGGGCCACACAAGGCGTTGATATATTATATATATATATATATATATATAAATATATATATAAATATAGATATATATAAATGTAGAGAATTGAAGGTAACATCACAAAATAAATAAATCTGCAAGAGAACAACATGTACCCAAGGTGAATTTGTAGCGAGTGTAAGACAGTTTTAAGTCAAAATTGTATAAGGTTGATGCTAACGGACGCAGATGAACAAACGGTATTATGAATAGTTCCCTTAGAAGTTATGCTTATGAATAGTG